ATTGCAGTCTGTTAGGATTTTATGTTAAAATACATTAAAGTGAAGACAGTAACCAGACCACACCAACCTTGTGTCAACAGTCAAAGTTCTAATGGAGCATATGTGGTAGGGGGCCATGGCCCTGGACCAGGACAGTGTGACTCGACAATGTCCCTGGCAAAGGCTTTGGGTAGTGTGGAGCTGAAGGGAACACCAGCAGTACACTGCATGCCCCCAGCTTGGAGAAAAGATGGCACCTCCTCCCTCTGCTGTGTTGTTCGGTGCAGAGTAGGGCCCACAGCCGGAGAGGGAACAAAGCATTTCATGAATACTGCATTTGCATAAAAATTGTCATTTATTAAGTAACACTCAAACTAATCCAAAATCTTTATTATTTTCTCAAGCTGTTTTGGAGGCTTTTGTCTTGCTTTGAAGTCTCTCAGAGTTTACAATGTTTTGGCTCCGAGCAGAACTTCTTTTACTGTGCTCCTGTAACTTTTATAAAGTGAAAATCTTCCAGTTAGCTGCTGCTTATGGAATTCAGCATAGGACTGTATTCCTGGATGTAGTGGTAAACACTTTTATTATTTGTTTTAGAGGATGGCACACAAGATATGTTGGGAGGATTACCAGAATCTGCTTAAATAGATTGCATCCAGGCTTACATTGCAATGCTGAAATCTGTCTTGCTTAAGTTGCTTCCTATTCTTTGGTAAGAGGGAGAGGAATCCTGGTGCTTTCACACTGTTAGAAACAACTCTGGGACATGAGAGATGGAAAAGCAGTTTAATGTGCCTTTAGGAATTATCATACAGGTTTGGTGCAGGAAAGAATAATGCACTTCTAAACTTCCAAGGCATGCAGTTCTAAATCCATAAATTTAAAAGGTTTTCTGTCTCAGCCTATATTATTCTTTTCTCCTAAAGTGGAATTTCTCCAGGAATGGCTCCACTGAGCAAGGAGTTTCTTTTATTTTTTAAAATCCATTTCTTTTCCAAGCTTGTTTCACATTCTTACTAAAACAAAAATATAGATTTTTTTAATGTTTTTCTTTTCCCATTACTGTAATTTGTTTTTTTTTCAGATTCTTGAAATCTAATATATGAAACCATGTTTTAAAAACAAAGTTATCTGTCACCATGAAAACCAATGTTTCAAAAATCCAGATAGCAAAAGTTGTCCCTACCTGCTTCATGTCTGGTTCATTCTTTTATTTGAAGTATATAGAAAAGACAACTGGGTCTGACTATAGCTATGAACTATGGTATTGTACTACAATATATTAGGCTTTACTGGAACTGGAAAGGATGACATAAATGTTATAGTGTGTCATGCAAATCACAGCAGATATATTTCTGTGCTGCTGATGTTCAGGTTGGAGGGAAAAATAAACTGGTGGGATTTTTGCATTCTGGTTTGTTGATTAAGTCAGTAAGTGTGTATGTATATACATTTTTATATATAGTCCTGATGACCAAAAGGAACTCTGATTCACCTGCTCTGTTCTTCTGTCACAGGTACTGTATTTATTTTGCATGCTACAGTTTATGTTCAGGTGTTACTTCTATTTGGTTAATGTAACACTTCTAGAACTGTTTACACTTTTGCAGTGAAGAAATGAAAGGGAGTGCCACCATCACAGCATTTTGGAATGGCTAAATTGGAATAGACCTTTAGAGGTCATCTGGTCCATTCAGAAGTAATCTCAAAGTCAGATCAGGAATGGAGACACCACAAAATTTCAGGGCAGCCCACTCAAGTGTTTGTCCACTCTCCCTGGGGAGAAATTTTTCATATGTATGATGAGAATTTACCTTGCTGCAACTTGTCCATCTCCTCTTTATTTTAATCTTTATTAAGGGACAGTCATTCTTATTGTAAACTTGCTACATTGTTTAAAAATGTTTTCCTATCTTTAGCTGGTCTTCTTTTGTGCTGCTTATACCACTTGGATGTATCTCAGCTACATTAATAGAATGAAAAGGTTCTTTCATGAAGGCAGACAATGTGTAAAGTCAACTGAGGTCACTGTATGGAGAAGGAAATGGACTGAGCTCTTTAAAAGCCTGTCTACATGTGCAGGTCTTCAAGGATGTCTTCTTTATGCATAACTCTCACATACAGCCTTATTCTTGAAAAAGTATATCATACTCTTGCTCGACTTGAATTTTTTGCTACAGGTAGAAAAGTCCTAGGAATTCCACAGAAAAGCATATTCTTCTCTCTCTCTCTCTTTTTTTTTTTTTTTTCCCCCCCCCAAGTGTTTGCAAAAATTAGAAATGTGATCCCTGGGCCTGAGTGTGACATGTCATTGCCTATCTGAGTGTAGGAGCTGCTCTATTTTCTAGCTATTATGTCTTAATCTCTTGATTTCTCTGCCTCTGCATGCTTCTTCTGACTCCTGCCTTCTTGCATTTGAGAAAGAATTAAAGGCAGAAAAGGCTGAACTCATACTTTTTTTATCAGAGACTAACTCATGATATTAGGGGATATGCTGGATACCTTGCCAACACTTTAAAACAAACAAACAAACAAACAAAAAAAAAAAAAACAACTCAGGGATATTTCCACTTCTG